TCTGAGTGATAAATATGTTCAATGTGCGTCACATACTTCTGTAGTAATTACATATCGTGTGATTATAAAATAGCTTGTGCTACATTGTCGTATCATCGGTCATCAGCCAATCATCATAATTATTATTGTTATACTCTATAATATAATGGCGTGATGTTATTTTCTTTTTAGTATCAATATACTCTATGGATGTTATAAGGAAACAGTGTGTTCGTTCAGTTCAGTCTAAAGTAATAACCACGGCTCCGGCACAGCTCCAAGTGTGTGAGTTGAGAAGTGACCACATATAAAAATATAACATGTGCCGCATGTGCATTTTGAATAAAATACTACTTATGTTTGATTTTCTCCTTGTTGTACCTGTAAAAAATTGATACATAATATAACAAAGTCGACGGAAAACTAGCGGCGGCAAACAACCGCATTTAATTCTGTAGAACGTTTTACTCTTTCGTTATTTACTTTTTATAAAATACAATAATACGAAAATATTATATGCGCTACACATTCAGTCAAAAAAGTATCGGGAATGGATGATTTGTTTATGGTTCCAAATAATTTTTTTTGTTTTTTTGTAGTTGTTAGATTGGCACAACTGTTTTCCATTTTGGCACTGAAAATGAGAAGGCTTTCGGTGAACCGACTTTATCAAAAACTCGTGCTTATGAAAATGTTTCAAAGCATTCAAAAGCGGTCGAGATGTGATGGAGATTTGCCTCGCTCTGGTAGGCCGTCAACGTCTGCAACTGAAGTTAACATCGCAAACGTGAAGGAAATAGTGACTGAAAATCCCCATTCAACTGTGAGAGAGATAGCCGCTGAACTTTCTATATCTCACGAGCCGATCCGTACCATTTTAACTAATCATTTGGGTATGAAGCATGTTGCTGCTGGGCTAGTCCCAAAAGATATGAATTTTCTCCAAAAACTCAATCGCATGAAAGTCGCTGAGGACATGCTAGAACGAGTCAGGTCGGACCCAACATTCATGAAACGCATTGTTACTGGTGACGAGACGTGGGTTGACGAGTTTGACATGCAAACTAGTCAACAAGCTTAGGAGTGGCGCCTTTCAACTGAACCGAAACCGAAAAAACCACGCCAAAATCGATCAAAAGTCAAAGTCATGTTGACTGATGATTATGTTCTTTGACTATCGCGGTGTTGTGCACTCTGAATTCTTACCGGAAGGTCTAACCGTAAATAAGGAATATTATTTGAGCGTTATGCAGCGTTTAAGAGAGCAAAAGTGAGAGAGACGAAAAGGGCCAGATTTGTGGAAAGAAAATTCTTGGATTTTGCACCACGATAATGCGCCTTCGCACAAGGCTATCATTGTGAACGAATTTTTGACCAAACACTCAACAAATACCATCCAGCAACCACCATATTCACCAGATATGTCTCCTGCCGACTTTTTTCTTTTTCCTAAACTCAAATTACCACTTCGTGGCACCCGTTTTCAATCGATAGAAGACATAAAGGAGAATTCGCGGCGAGAACTGAACTGAATTCCGGAAGCAGCGTTCAAAAAATGTTTTGATGAATGGATTATTCGTTGGCGCAAGTGTATCGTTTCTAAAGGAGCATACTTTGAAGGTGATAAAATATAAATTTGGATGAATATGACATGTTGGATGAACATGACAGATATTTTGTGTATTATATTGATCTTTTCCCGGTACTTTCTTGACAGAGTAGTATGTCCATGAAGGTCTAAAAGTCAAGACCTAAGAATCAAATAAAATTGAAGATTAAATTGTAATTATTAACATTATATTTACTGAGTGAATATGTATGTTTACAAGATAAGTATTTTATAAACACCTTGACTGCCTCATTCGCCGAGTGATCGCAAGTGTGACTGCTGGGCAAGGGGTCTCGGGTTCGATTCCCGAGTCGGGCAAAGTATTACTGCATTTTTATAACATAATAGTGAAGCGTGGGTGTTACAATATTGTACAGTGACATTACTGTACAATATTGTAACACCCACGTGTAATGTGCACCTTTGTCTACCCCTTTGGGAATGAAAGGCGTCATGTTATGTGTATTTCAAAACAGTAGATATAAGAAGCTGCCAATTATGATCCGTGCCTATTAACCGTTTGGGAACGGCAGAGTGGAACAAGTAAAAACAAAAAAATATTAATAGTATTGACATATGCGTAGTTAAAGTTTCTGAGTGCTTAAGTTTCCAAGTTGCTAAATACTCCATCTACCGAAGTTGGCTAAATACCTACACCTTTATGTACCTACTCCGTAGGTACTACAACGATCCGATAGATGTCACTGTGCCGTGACGTCATTTTCTGAATCGCGGTGTTAAGATTCTCCGCAAATGAATGACCCTCCCCGGTTGCGAGTGTTACGGTATCGCTTCTCGGCCTTTTGGCTAAGATCAAAGTGTAGTATCTGTTCTTTTCAGCTTAATATCTGAAAGTTCCCTCACTGAGGGACCAGTATATTAAACTGATTTTTGTAAACTGACGGGATGTTCGGGGCTCGCTCCACTCCCGTCACGGGTCGGCCCGGCATTGCAGTGCCGCCGGGATCGGCCCACAGAATACCATGAAATTAATTAACAGCATTGAAGTGTGGGTTTTTACTTTCTTAATAATAAGTACGTATCATGTGCGTCGTACACTTATACATCGTCGTACGTACGTACGACATCATCAGTCGATCATTATACATTCTACAATAAAATGGCGCGATGTTATAAGGGTTATAAAGGTCATCGCACACTTAATAACATGCCTCCAATCCAGCAGTTAAGACCGTGTCATTTAAATATGGACTTCAAATTGTGTCGTATAACTAGGGTTGCCAACCGTACTCTAAAATAGAGTATTGTCCTCTATATCATGTAGGCGTACTCTATAATCTATAACACTAATAAAGTACGCTAAAATACTCTTTTTACACAATGTTTACTTAACTAGTGCCAGTCTGTAATAATGTGCAAACACCATGATCAGAATATCTGCCATTTAATCTAAATCATAAGCGTAAAATAAATGATACTCTTTTTTGTAAGTACGTAGGTACTCTTTATTCAAATCCTTTAAAATCAGATATACTATAATTCTTCTAAAAAAATTTGGCAACCCTACGTATAACATAATAATATTTCATAACGTCAATGTAATAAAACTGTAAGCGTGCCGTCCGGGGGGCGCGCTTACAAGCTTTTTGTCTTATTTCGAAAGCACAAAATGCCGACCTTTAGGCGTGCAAAATAGATCAGTGTAAAGAATCACGCAAGTTTTTTCATAAAATAATTAGAACACTACGTACATTTTCATCAAACCCAAATAGGTAATTTAAAAAAATATTTATATTTTATACCCTATATAAAGAAAAATTGAAAATGATCTTGTGATTGTGCCCGTTAAAAATTGGACGAACATAATAAGTACATACATAGTGACATACATTCCCAAACGAAAAGGTTTGAAAATGGCCCCTTGTATAATGTTTGTAATACCAACTGACTGAATGCTTATGTTGTCAATACATAATGTTGGTGTTGCACTTCCCTAACCGGGTTTCATGTTGACATTAACCTACTTATGTAACACCTAAGTCCACATGAGTGCAATAAAGAATTTGAGTTATTTAATATCTCAATACGGGCTAGCCCGGGGCCGTTTTTTTATAAAACTTCATGCTTTTTTACACTGATCTATTTTGCACTCCTTATTAGACTGACCTGAGCACACTCGGTTTCTTTATAACATCACGCCATTTTATTGTAGTGTGTATGATGATCGACTGATGAAGAAGTATACGAGTGTGCGTTGTAGTATATAATAATATTATATAGTGTATAATAGTATTAACACTCAGACAGACAGACAGTAATATCCCCCACACATCAATCAACGCTGATAAGTGTTGCTGATAATTATTTTCATGTTATTCTGTGGGCCGATCCCGGCGGCACTGCAATGCCGGGCCGACCCGTGACGGGAGTGGAGCGAGCCCCGAACATCCCGTCAGTTTACAAAAATCAGTTTAATATACTGGTCCCTCAGTGAGGGAACTTTCAGATATTAAGCTGAAAAGAACAGATACTACACTTTGATCTTAGCCAAAAGGCCGAGAAGCGATACCGTAACACTCGCAACCGGGGAGGGTCATTCATTTGCGGAGAATCTTAACACCGCGATTCAGAAAATGACGTCACGGCACAGTGACATCTATCGGATCGTTGTAGTACCTACTTAGTAGGTACATTAAAATGTAGGTATTTAGCCAACTTCGGTAGATGGAGTATTTAGCAACTTGGAAACTTAAGTACATATTTACATTTCAATATTTTTATTGGAACAATCATTAGTATGATAAGATAAGATAAATTACCTACCACCTGCAGTGTTTATTAGATTAGGTTCTATCATGCGTGATAATTCTATAGTACCTTGATAAAACTACTACCAACCATTGACTGTATCACTTGACATTCAGTTTTTATTAAAATTATAATGTTTAGCTGCGTTTACACAAACAATGGACGATGGTCGAGGTAAATGACCGGGCATCAACCCTGTGACCTCATATCAAGTAGCGCATCTATAATAAGTATACCTACCCCAAAAAAATATGGTTTGATAAACTTAATAATATAGAAATAAAAGAAATAGGTATAATAATGTATACAAGTTATTATAAATCTTATTTTATTGCACATATTATAATAAAATAAAATAATAAAATCTTCTCAAAATATACATATAACTTAGTACCAAAAGTACCATTACCTTAGCTTAGTATAAAAACATGAAAAATGCACTCTGTGCCATGTACTTATTAAGTTTCATTTACTACAACAGTTTATGTATGTGCTGTTTATGTTTACTTTTATTAAATACTAGCTACTTCGGCGCTGTTTCACACGCTCTGCTCAGCTCCTATAGGTCGTAGCGTGATGTTTTATAGCCTATAGCCATCCTCGATAAATGCGCTATACAACACAAAAATAATTATTCAAATCAGACTTGTAGCTACGGAGATTAGCGCGTTCAAACAAACAAACTCTTCAGCTTTATATAATAGTATAAGATAAGATACATATTTCTTTCCGTTACAAAACCAGTTTTGGACTTACGAAGCCTTTACTGGAATATAACAGTCTCATAGATAAAAAATACGAATATAATCATCAATTTCTTACATACATAATTGAGCTTTTTATTAAATCTTAGAGGCTACCGGAGTATTTTTCTTAATAATCTTATTGACTATGACATGTCCCTCGTCATAGTATGGGTTGAAATGTTCCCGCACTTTTTTCCACCACACCTGTATATTCTTAAAGTTCGCACAAGGATCATAGCCACTCATCCCTGAAAAAAAAAATACACCGAAAAGTTTTATTATCGCGTTATTAAGTACTGATAGCTACTTGTAAGTGATCAAAGTTGTGTATCAAGCAAAGTACCATTGGGCTGTTCGATTAAATTGAAATAAACATCTGCATGCATGAGGAGATCGGTGTCATTGTCTCTGCATAGTATTATGATGACAGGCATAATTACTATACATATACATACTAGCATCTGCTAACGGTTTCGTTCGCATTTCCATGATATAAAAAGTGGCCAAATGTCATTTCAGACAATTATCCAGCCCTGTTTCAAATTCCCTGTTTTTAGGATTTTCTCCTGTGTCGTGGGTGCGTTTACAAACAACAATCTGTGGATCACACAAAGAGTTATTCCGTGCAGGAATCGAACCCGCGCGACGTTGCGCGGCAGCCATCCAGGTACTTTTAAAGAAGTAACAAACAAACATACACACACACAAACATTCGCATCTATATATATAAAAATGAAACCCGTTTCCCGTTGCCACGCCATAACTTGAGAACGGAGAGACCGATTTGGCTGAATTTTTTTTTAGTTGTTTGGTATTATCAGGGCAAGGTTCTTATGACAGAAACAATCCTGAACACCCTACGGGAACGGGAGAAAACCGGATTGCGCGTACGAAGTTGCGGGCAAAAGCTAGTTTATAATATACTAGCTTTTACCCGCGGCTTCGCTCGCGTCACAAAAGGATAAAAAGTAGCGACATATACCAATACACACAGCGTCATCTATACCAATAACTTCGTTTTCCCTCGAGAACATCAAATTTTACCGGGATAAAAAGTACCCTATTATTTAATCGAGAATTCTAACTTTACGTCTGCAAAAGTTCAAAGCAATCGGTTGAGTAGTTACGGCGTGAAAGCGGAACAAACAAACAAACTCACTTTCCGATTTATAATATTAGTAAGGATAGTAAGGATAAGGATAAGGATTAGTAGGATAATGTTGTTATTCTTACTAGGTTGTTCCAGTTCACAAGCCGCCAGCAAGTCTGCCACGGTAGGAGTATTTCCATTAATAAAGTCTGTTCCTCTGCCCAGCCACTTGTCATTGAACTCCGTCAAAGCTGCTTCCATGCGGCTCTCATACCCAGCTAGAGATACAGGATCAGCGGGTTTGCCAAACATCACTGGATTCAAGTACTGTAACCGAGAGAAAGACATAGTTTGTACACGAGCTATCTTAAGATTATTAACATAACATCGCGCCTTTTATCCCCGTAGGGGGTAGGCACTATTTATGTTATGAGTCCCATGTAGTAGAGGGCGAGCCTATCGCGTTATACCGGGCACAATTCCAGACTCCGTGCTACTACTGAGATTTTTTTTTAAACTCAATAGTACTTTGCCCAGCCCGGGAATCGAACCCGAGACTTTGCCCAGCAATCGCATTTGCAACCACTCGACCAACGAGGCAGTCTTACGATTATTCTTATACTTAGATATATTTTAAAGTCGACTTGGAAGAAGAGTTTAATGCTATTGGAGTTTGTTCATGTTAAATAGAGGGCTTACCATAGATAAGATACTACTTGTAATGGCTTCTATCATAATATGTTTTTGATTTACTTTTTCACTTCAGTGATAACATAATGAAAGAAGCACAGAATAGTACTATTTGGCGGAGCCACATGTAGGTCCTACAAACATTTCAAGTCTATCTTTGTCCATCTCTAGTACAATATTACAAGTTTATTACATTTTTTTATAAAAATGTTGCACCATTAGGAATAGTCCGTCATGGGTGCACAACAACGATTTGTGGATCACACAAAGAGTTGTTCTGTGCAGGTAATGAAACCGCAACACGCTGCAAGGCAGCCAGTTGCCCAGCCACCATGCTCATTATTACATACATGTAGAAAGCTGTAAAAGTATCGAATGGATATTGAATAACTTACTTTAACCCTGAAGTACATAGCACAATGCAACCTAAGCCCCGCATGCTGCCACTCCAGGAACTCTTCAACCCTGGCCTGAGCTTTAGACTCTTTAGGGTACAGACTTTCTGGTATCACATTCTCTCTGGATAGATACTTGAGAATGGCAACACTGAAAACAAAATTGTAACACTGAATGCTAAAGTGTTTACTACATAACAGACATAACATCTCTCGTTACCCAATGAGTTTTGCTGCAGTCTTATGAATAACTTTCCACCAGTTTAGTTTTGAACTCTAAACAAACATACCTCTCTGTTAAAATAAATCCATTATGATCTATCACTGGCACCTTCTGGAACCTATTTATTGCAGAGTATTCTTCAGTGTAATGTTCAGCTGGAAATAAATAAAACATTAATATAATTATGTACTTATTTAATAGGTTCTCACTATTTTTGCAATTGCATAATAAGAAAAGTCGCCCTTTCAAAGATAAGCGAGTGTTTACCCAAATACAAGTCAATTTCATTTTATCACTAAAACATTTTATTCTATTTGATAACTCACCTTGTCGTAAATTGACGAATTTCGGCTCGAAATTACATTTGATAGATTTCAATAAGATATAAAGAGCCCTCGAGGGTTGGGACATAAGATCGCAGTATAATTTTAAAGACATTTTAAATTTCATATAGGAAGTTAATTTTTTGTGAACTTTGTACTGAGTTACTGGCTGCTCGGATGTTTTTATAACAGATTTTTTTTTATTAAAATTGTTTTGATATTGATAGAGTAAAAACTTAGTCCATCATATCAATTATGAACTTTATGTGCATTGAATTTACGTTTAAATTTGTTTAGTTGTTTAAAAGATTCAAGATAACATTTTACAGTCAACCTGTCAACCTGTGAAATGTTATCGTTTTCGCTACGCTGTCAAAACGTTTCAAAAGTCGAGTGTTTGGAAAATCGACTAAAGATGGTGCAAAATCGATAATCAGAGATGCAATTGATTATGTTGTCTTTTATAATAGTTGATTCTTTTTTTTAGAAAATTTTATGAATAATACTTGCTTTACATGATTCCTATATATGGGTCGCGCATGCATGAGATTCAGTGCGTGAGACATGTGATCGAGTCGCTGATATGAAAACACTCTCTGAGTCTCGTAGAGAAGTTTTGTCTAAAAAGGCGAAATAAATTACATAACGAAATAGATTCCATGATTTAGATTATTGTTTCATGTGGGAATTGAACCCAGGATACGTCACGTTGCACAGTACAGTAGCCAATTTACAAAGCCGTCAACCGTCATGGTTAGTCGATTTTTAACACATTCCTATATCTGTGTTTAGTATTTAGTATGTTTTGTTGTCACAACCCTATAAATCGAGTATTCGGATATTTTTGGTGAGACGCTGATTTTGATCGAAAAATACATTTATTAAAATTTATTTCGCAATTATAATACTACGACATGGCGTCGTTGGATCTTTTAACACCACATCTATCCAAAATCAGAATACCCAACTCCCAACAACTGATCTACAAAGATGAGTGTGTGTATTCTTTTGACAATCCGGTGAGTTGCAATTTTTATTATAACCTTTAAATAACATTTATTTCTGAATAAACCCTGTAGTATTTTGCTCTTCTACATCAATAGCTGCATCATCTTCAATCTGGCATCATATTTCATGATCTGAAATGGACAAGATTTTTCTTTCACAAATTGGTTTTTGATGGATACTGGTACTGGCAGCCAAATTAAAAAAAAAGAAATCCATCTTTTGTCCGATTTCGAAGTACCCCACGAAAAATACCGGTCAGAGGTTCTTTATGTTCTTTATTCTTTTAAGTTTAGGTAAAATATTCATATTCTTGGAAAATACAAAGATATTTTTATCTAGGACTATTGATATGGGTTGTAGATCATGGTTGGTCTAATATTAATATGTATTTTTAACTGAAAAAGTGTACTTAAGAATGAAGAAAGTTAATAGTAATGGAATAAATTGAATAAGGTTTAAAAACAGTTATTGCTGTGCTTATTACAATCTTATAGATTTCTAATAAGAGGAACAAGAAATAACTGAGTAAGATTCTTTCAAGTCTTTATAAATTACAAATAAAACAACAAATTATGGATATTTGAGAAATTCTTGAATCAATGGGTTTCAAATTGGGCTTACAGTATTATCTTTGAAATATTTAGTATTCATAAAGTTCTTTACGGCCTGATACACATTAGCAATTACATTAAAAATAGAAGTCCGCATACCATTCATGGTGTACGAACACAATGTGAGAGATAAAAATGTATCCAACATTACGGGACTCCAAAATAATACATTGTATAACAATTCTCTAGTCACATAGGTCTTAACATTCTGTCTTTTCAACTTCATTAAATGTATTTTAGTCAATATGACCGTAGAAATAGTTATTGGTACGAAATAACACACAACTACAACCGCAAACATGAACAAAATTAGCTCCTTATTTTCTAAATAACATATTTTCATACAATCCTCTTGTTTACTGGATTTCGGTGTCCTGTAGAATGGACTTGACACATTAACGTCTGCATAACGAGTTTCATTTTGGTAATTCGCAATGATTTTGTACACATTATTCACTACAGAATTGAACTTTTCCTGTGTCTTATTGGAATAGTTTTCATTTTCATACATTGTAATATAATTTGGTGTGTGTTTCCGTAGTTGTAAGGTATCATTTATGTCAATAGTCACTGAACAGTTGTCCCTACCAACATCTACTAGTGCCATGCAAGATTCACTTAAACTTCGCAAGTCACTCATAGGAATATTTGTCTCTTTGACATCCATAGAATACATGGAAATTGTTATAAAAAATGGCAATAACCACTGTATAGCTACTGTAATGAAACTGAAATACTTATTCCAGAATGCAAGAAGGCTTTCTATAGTAGATTTAGTTTGTATTCTGAAATTATCCTCTATTTCTCTTACTGCACTCTCATCATCAGACCTCTTCACATCAGCAACCATTTTATAGTGCATATAATTGTCTATAATCAGACTTAAGAAGCTATTTACCAAAGACACAATCAGGGGTCCGTAACTCATAAGAATTGATGTGAAACTGCAGTTCATTTCTTCATTTTTCATCATGGCCGCTGTCCGTTCTTCCATCATGTCTGTCATTTCTACATTTAGAGGACTTAGGTTGTATACTGCTCGGCTAATGAATGCAATGCCAATGCATGTGAGAAGTATGTTTTCTGATAGAAGGACAGCAGGGAAGGACACATTGTTTTCTTTTAATATTCTTCTTAGATTGAACAAACTTAGTACAAAACCACACAAGATTAGGAAACTTCCTAAGTATACATCGATTGAGTTTAACATATTTGAATGGTTACTGCGCCAATGTTGTGACCGGAATGATCCACCAGCCCCCATATTTTTGCAGGGGAGAGATAGCTGTTATCAGGCACATGTAAATTATTATGAGGGCGCTTTTTTTTAATGGCGCGTTGTTTGCATAAAGGAAAGTTTTTATTTTATGTATTGAAGGTACACCCGTACACTGATACTGGTTTGAACATAAACGGATCAACTTTCGACTTAAAATGCTATCCAACTCAATTCTATGTAGATGTTTTTGTTTGTGGTTTTGTTTAAGGTCGCCACAAAGTTGTTTGACATGATTAAAATACTTTGCGTATTGTTGTACAGATGTTTATTGAGGTTTTTATTTCAGGAATCCGATACTGGCCTGTATGTCTCGCTAGTGAGCTACCTCGGCTTCGGTCGCAACTACGTCGAGCAGTACTTCCAGAAGACAGGCAACAATGTCTTCTTGCACATCAAGAGGGAAAAGAAACCCGTGAGTTTTATTCATTAACATGTCTTATTAACCTTATTCGTCATAATAATTGAATGTACCCAGGACTTCCAGGACTTGTAGCATTCGTCTATGCGTCTAGTGATAGTCCTGTAGTCCCGGAGGTTTAAGACGCCCGCTTCTCATGCATGAGAGAGAACGTCACTTTTTACGAGTTATGTAGGTCACTATGTAGGTACTTTACTTTCTAAGATTATTATCCAGGTAGACACCACTGACAAACGGTAAAGGAAGACAGCGTGAGAAAACCTGAGCTTAAAATTTCTAGTTATAAGTATGAAATCGCCAACCCGCGTCGAGCAAGCGTGGTGATTAATGGTCCATACCTTCTCTACCTCTTCAGTGGCCACTTATAGGCTGTTGATGATGACTCAGCACGTTCTATTAACTATACAATATCCAATAAGAATTATTCGCATCAAGGTCGAAAGATTACCAAGTGATAAATATGCTTCACGTGACGGTGGACTGCACTAGTCAAATGGTTGTTGCACTAGTGTTTATAAAGCAGTTGAGGCAAGTTGAGCAAAATCCTGAATTTATGCAAACACTAACTAAAAAGTAAGGTAAAGCAGTTTGTTTTGATAATAACTATCGTGAGATATGCTAAATTAACTAAAATCGCGTGTTACTCACGTGAATATACTGAGAAAAGCTCTACTAGTTTCGAACCACGGAGGGGTTCTTCTTCATGAGCAGCGTGCGCGGTCGCGGCGAGGTCGCGCTGCTCACTGAGTGAGTGATAAAGTAGTTTAGCAGCGGAAAAACGGTTATTTTAAATTCGCATATACATGTGCAATGAAAGAATAAAAAAAATGATATTAAATTCTATTTGTCACAGGTCCCAGAACCAGAGAAAACCGGCGATGGTCCAGAGAAGAAGATCACGCGGTTAGCTATCGGCGTAGAGGGCGGGTTCGATCCCGCATGTGGCAAAGCGAAGTTCACATTCACTGACCATTACAGCGTTGTGGTCCTGCCTGGTTTCCATACCTTCCCATGGCCTAACGATGCCCTGCCCGAAATTGTAAGTAACTTAAGTAAAATGTTTGGTAAGTCTTGTGATGCTACTTTATTCAATGTGATCTGATTCATACAAAAGTAGTCTCTAAATAATGGAAATAAGGTCTATAAAAAGATGGGTGAGAGAATACACCGATATCCTCCTGGCTTCTTATAATCCAGGAATGGACTCAAAACCTTTCTTCATAGTTTAAGTCCAACCGCTGCTTAGGTTTTGTGGTGATAGACCTTTTTCTTATGGCTATAGTAAACAGAGGCCTTATGGCTATCGTGGATCGTGTACAAAGTAATCGAAACGAATACGCGTTCGGCGCTTTCGCTGTATCTGATTGGCCGGCTCCAATGAACCAGCCAATCAGAACGCCGAACGCCAAACATGTACTAAGGCCTCTGTATGTGAATAAATAAATGAAAACTAGTGGATCTCAAAATTCTCATGAACACGTGACATCAAAGGGAGTGCGAGTTTGCTTTTACGTTTACGCTATCGTAACGTCACCGCGATTAGCCCTCTGATTGGTCGGGTAATTGAAGCTGGCCAATCGGAACGCCGACCGTTATAAACATGACGATCGCGTCAACGTAAAACAAACTTTCACTAGGCTCCGATTTGTTTTCAGATTTCTCAGCCATTTGAATAATCTTCATGAAACTATAAAGAAACCGCTAAAGTTGTCGAATTTGTACTTATTAGATTTGTATACCTAGTACAAGTTTTTGATACTGTGCAGGTGAACAAAGCCGTCCAATCAGTGATCGAGGCGGAGTCCCCATTCAAGATCGCAGAGTTGGCCGCGCTGCAAGGCACCTGGGATGGCGAGAAACGTGAAGTCTCTGTGTGAGCTGCCATTTTATTATAACACTATAAATAACATAATGTCCTGCCTTATAATCCTCAATGTAACAACACTTTGCCAGTTATGTTATGAATCCTTGCTAGCTTATCCTCTCGCGCGTTTCTTGACCTTGTACACACG